CTTGGTATACACATATTTTCGTTCGATAGCCAAAAAATGTCATTTTTACTGAATAAAACACCAACTTTATTGATAATTTAAATCGGCATTGCATTAAGAAAAAACTTGCAACATCTGCAATTGCTTAAGAGACGTCAGTTTTCGAATAACTTCAAGCCCATAACTTTAAAACAATGGCTCTTTCATCAGCCAAATGAAACATAAAACGCCGACAAAAAAGCAAACGCGAAACTTCAAAAAAAACTTTGATTTAGTTTTAGCTTGAAGGTCATAGTTAATGTAAAAAAATTAAAAGTGTTGTCAAATAAATTATCTTAAAATGTATAAATTGATATTTGATGTCAGAATAAGCAATCTTAGGATAATTAGCTGCATTCAAGTTAGTTAACTTAGAAAGATATTGCCAAAATAGAGGTTTGCAAATAATTGGAACAGGAATAACTGATTGAAAAAACAATTGACCTATTTAAGAAACATTTTGCATGCAAAAGATTATTTACCAGACGGAATTTGTGTCCAAAGGCTGCCTGAAAAGTGAGTTTACCTTTATAGTAACAAAAAAATTGCACAAAAAATTGTTTAAAAAAGCGATTGACTTATTTTAAACAATTTTTGCATGCAAAAGTTAATTTTTCAGACAAACTTATGTGTCAAGGTCACTTGAACATTCAAACTTGCATGCAAAAGTTGCGTCAACTAGGCGGATTGCTCTTCATAAATATTTCTGTCTGTTCGGAACGGACACTGTGCAATTTGTTATGAAATGTTCTCTCAAAAAGGAATAAATTGCTCTTTATAGCCATTGCCAAACGTTGGTAAAAATGTTTAAAGTCAACGGATCTGAATGAAATTAACTAACTTGAAATTGCTCATTTTGACGTCAGAATTTATATTTAGAAGCATAAGAGCACGTAGAAATCTATTATTTTTGAACAAACGTTTTTTGAATATTTAAATGAATCATGGTCGCCGATATTGCCAACATTTTGTCATAAACTCTAAATTGATTCTGTCTGTTCAAAATTTTTTTTTGGAACAGTTACTAGTATTGAAATGATGGGACGACGAGTGTCACGCTTTTTGAAAATTAGTCTGAAAGCAAAAATCAATGCGTGTTCGAGATGCAAGATTTTTTAACAGTTAATCAGACACTCATGGCAAATTTTTTTAATTGCGTATGGATTCATTGACAATTCTAATTCTAATGAGCTTTTGAGCGCCCTATGTTTTTTGAACGATTAACAAGTGTAAAAACTGGAACGAAGGCTGGAACGATCACATAAATATAAATAACAGAAAACAGAACCTTTTGGACTGTACTAAAGAATTGAAACAGGTGAGGATTTAGGGGCGTGGACGTACGCCCCTCCCCCCTCAGAGATTCGACCCAAAGAGTTTCCCCTTTTTACTATTCTGAAATATCAATTTTCGGTGACGGACCCCTTAAAATTTTCCAAAGGTGCCTTCGGCGCCAATATATATTAATTTTGAGAGGAGAGCGCGCGCCGAAAAAACGCGATTTTTTTGTCAACGTTTTCCAAAAAGTGCCTATAAATTCTTTTTTGGCCCGTTTTTTTAAAATTTTGCCTGCGGCGTAAAAAATTTGACCAAAACAGGGACTTTTTCGTGCTTTGGGAGAAATCGAAAAATCAATTTGATCGACTTGAAAAAAAATTCGGCAAAATTATCAAATTTTTTTAATTTTCGAAATCTCCGCAACACTTTGAGAAAAATTAAAAGATTAAAAGCTATCAGAATCAGAACAAAAGTTGGAATTTTGTCAATAAAAACCACAGCTAGCATAATTTTTTTGATGTTTTCTACCAAAATAGGAGCAAAAAAAGTATTTGTCCCCCTGCCGACCCAAAGGGTCCCCATTTTAAACTTTTTTGATCTTTTTTCAGCCATCCGTTTTCAGCTGACTGATCCCAAAATTTGACCCCAATATATATTAAGTTTGAGAGGGGAGCGCGCGCCAAAAAAATGCAAATTAGTATTCAAAATTTTCTAAAAAGTGTTTAAAACGTTTAGTTTTAGGTACACATTTTGGTCAAATTAGGGTCTCCGGTAAACAATATGGTCGACCGAAAAAAAATCGACAAAATTTTTGAAATTTTTTTTGAAAATCCGTTCTCCCTCTCTAGAAAATTCTAGACCCGCCCCTGAATTGACATTCCAAGAGTTGTAGACATGATTAGAATAAAAGATCAATTCATGAGCTGAAGACAAATTCATGTGGCTGAAAATTTCATATGGCTGAACTAGATGGCCATGTTTCGCTCAAGACTAGTTGTGATGGAATAGCTCAAGTTTTCTGAATATAATGTAAAAAAAATAACCATCTTACTCATTTTATGTAGAATTTACGCATTTCATTTGTAATAATGAGGATTCAATACATCCTTCTGCTCTTAGACCATTCTGATTATTGCTCAGTCCCTGAAAACGTGTGTTAAAGGCGTATAAAAACTCAGGTAGATGAAGTCGGAAAAATTAATTTAAATTGCATTAGAATCGGTTAAAATGGATTGTTTTTGCTTTTTTTTTGTATCAGATTGAATTGATGTTAATTTGATTCAAAATGATATTTTTCGGCTTTTCTGCATTATCTCTGTAAAATGGATTGCAAACCAAATCTTGTCAGTTCAGATTGAAATCTACTCTGTGTTTCTGACCGCATATCGAGCGCAAATTTTTTTGGATTTTGATGAATTTTCTTATGATAAGCGACATAAATCAGACTTTTATTTATATTGAATTGATATTGAATTTCCCTGAATCAAATTTTTACAACGAAACATTTTGCTCTCACAGTTAAGAACTAGGTATTTTTATGGTGATTGATCCCTGAATGCCATATCTTCACACAATGGGTTGTTATTGCGTGAGTCTCAAACGACCAATTTTTCGGCTGGGAAGCGGAGACCCTGTCTTTTCTGGTCGTTTTGAAATTTACCACAATTACCCTTCATTCTGTATTTGACTTACTGGATTTAAAAATGATTTTATTTAGTACTTTAGAGGAAGTTATACATACCACCAAAAACTAAGGGGAGGGAAACGTCTGAAAAGGTGGCTTCTTTAGACACAACCCAAGCAGTTTCGTTTCGGTAACTTCTCAAAGCAAAAAAAATGGTCAAAACTTTCAAAAAATCTTTCATCAGGGCAATTGTGGCTTGATGTTCTTTGGAGCACCATTTTTCACCGAAAGGCGTTTTTAAATTATTTTAAGATAACTCGCATAATCTTTTTGGTTGTCATAGAAAGAAGGTTGACAAAATTTAGAACCGTTTTGAAAGCCCAGCAAAAAAAATCCCAGATCCACCGCTGCCCTTATCCATAGGCCCATACAAAAAAACTCTTTTACTTCCATGAAATTTTTTGGAAAGAATAAAAAGCAAGGACGTGGTGTTGCGTGCAAAGTTCTCCAAATTAGTTAATCTTATCAGCGGTGTTATGATTGTCGATTAGTTTTAAACTAAATCCATGTTTATGCCTTCCTTGACCTGAAACGGGACTTTTTATTACCTCGATAAAGTTTGTTAATCGCTCGTTAAAACTCTGCCAAGGTTGGAAATCTGAAGAACAAAGGAGTTTCCCTGTCTAAACAAAAATGCTGTTAATTTGACCACGAAGGAGGAACTATCAGATTTATGGTTGTGTTAAGTGGCATTTGGGCTAAATTTGGGTTCAGGAAATGATATGGTATTCTAACGACCTGTTGTTTTCTCAACACTGGGGCCAAAGTAGTGGTTCTTAGTCTTCTCGAATCGCAGCATGTTATGTGACTTTATCACAAGTTATGAGCTCTGGGTTGTGGATTACAGAGACAACGGTATAAAGCCACTGTAGCAGTCCTGCAATTGCTAATTTCGGTTCTCTCCGAGATGGGATTGTTTATCTTGTATCCGCTGGATTAGTGCTCAGTCATTTCAGTTACTTCCCCGTTTTATTGCTTCTTCTTTATACCACCACAAATATGTACTCCTGACTGATTTCTAAATTACAATAACTTTTCCAATCTCTCTGCTTTTCATAATTCTACCATTTTAAATCTGTTTTTTTTTCTCTTCTGTTTATCTTGTAATACAACTACTACAGCACTGGTTGTGGAATGAGCCAAGCGGCTGCTGAGGTTCCAGTATAGCTCTTCGCTGCATTAAATACATAATCGGCCGGATTAGCACAGATTTAGCTAGTTGAGGCCCGACCCCGCAATACCCATGCAGCTTTCGCTTCATCTGTGCTAACTTGGTTATAACTAGTAAATCCGGTCGGTCAATCATACTTGATCTATTGTACCTTTAGCTGCTTGCTAAATCTCCGTCCAGTATTTTCAATCACTGGCATTTTACAGCAGTTTTACATCAGCGGAGCAGTTCATATTTTGGCTGGTTGAGAAAAAAGCCAGAGTAAGGCACCAATTTTGCAATAAGTGAAGTGGGGCGAAGGGAGTGAAAGCACAGCAGAGGCTGGCCGGCCGGCCGGCTGGGTGTCTTTTGACTGATTTCTCAACAGAGTGTTTCCAATAGTCCCATGTATTATGCTGAGTAGCAGCCTAAGTACACTAAGCTACAGTTCGAAAAAGGCAACATATTTTTGAATAAAAAGAGGCAAGAGCCCGTCATACATGCCATCAGCCACTCCAAATTGCCAATTGCTAATTTTGGAATTGTGGTCTGAATTATAAACAGAGATGTCACTCGGGGTTTGATTTATGATGAGCTGCTCCTTATTTCGGAATAGGGCTGAGCAGGGGGCGGATCCAGGGTTTTCTCGAGGGGGGAGGGGGTGCTTTCAAAAATTGTTCAAAGGGGTCCCTGGAGGGGGGTAGGAGCGTCCGCCTTCCCCAAATAAAACGTTTATATGGGCTGAGGGTTGGGTATGGGCGAACAGTGCCGAGAGGGCGTCGGGGTGAGTTGTTAAAGTGGTATCTGTGTGAGGGTGGGGGGGGGGGGGGGTCTTCAGCGAAGTGGTGACAAGGTTAATGGGTGTTGGGTAATGGGTAATAGGGTAATGGTAAGAGTGAAAGGGTGCACTATGTTTTGAAGGTAGTAGATTGTGGGTTGTCGTAGGTGTAGATAAAGACTCTCTTGTTTTTCCATTCTTCTTTTCTTTCTTCTAGAGCAGAGTGGAAATAGTTTTCTCGATTGCTCTCTTCTCTTCTGTTCTTTCCTCCTATTTCGATGTGTGTGTGTGTTGCTCTGGCTAAACTGGCCTCAATCCCAGATTAGAGGCCCTTGATGGTGATTAGGAGCAGAAATTATTGGTGCCACTAACTCTGTCTCTTTATCTTTTTTTCTCTCTCCCCTTTCAGCTCTTTTATCTATATATCTGTTCAATATCTGTTCATCCATTCACTCTAACCATTCTATGTGCATCCACTTACCATTTCAGATACTTAGATTAGTCCTACTTTGTCATAGTCACATCAAGTAATCAACAAACCAACAAAACTACCAGTCCATTAATGGACCAACTAAGCGATGTCTCCTAAACCACACAATTAAACCTCATTTTCTGCTGTCGAAAATTATTGTGTCTAGTCAGGAATAAATTACTGAATCAAATGCTTTTTCATACAGAGAGCTATGAAGAATCACCTGAATGTTATAAAGCTTTTTCAGCTCAAAATAGTTTATAGTCTTCAAAGCCGAACCCGTTTTTTGTTTTAGAATACTGTTCAGAAAAATATTAGTTTCCCGACATTTGCAGAAGGAAGTGACTTTTTGTCTTTTTGTGAGAAGTAAGCTAATCTTTGTTTGTTCATCCGAGCAAAAGAAGCCCTACCCAAATAGCAGAGCCAAAACACCAGTTCAAATATCTGGCTCATTCTGGTTAACTACAACTGGGTCTCGCTGCCTGGGAGTGAGCGGAGATTAGATTATACTGTCGGTGGAGTGGATAATTGTGTTTTCTCTACCTGCCTGCATACATGCCACAGCTAATCAAACCGACCCGTTTTTATACTAACTAGCATTCTAACCAATACCAATACCCACAATACCTATAAAACCCAGTAGATCATTTCGAATAAATAAGTCAAAGCTCTACTTTTACCCAGCCCAATAAGCCAGCCCTTCTTTTATTCCGACTGGTGCATCCACTGTTACTTCATTATACGGCACTACCAACTACAATCTGCTTTGCTTCATATATCTGCCTCCTTTCTTTTCTTCTTCTTCTCCTTCTTCTGCTTCCACCTTTTCACTCTTCTTGCCCCATATCTCTCTCTTACTATCGCCTCTTTTTATTCTCCTTTATTCTCCCTCTATCTCACTTTCTCTAGCTCTTTATTTTCTGCCCAAGTGCATTCGGCCGCTTGCTACTTTACCCTCTCCCCCAGTCTGTTCAGATCTCTTATTTGATTGCTCTTGTTGTCCTAGTGGTATTTGAAGAGCCTGTTGCTACTTGAACTGCACCCCTCCATGTTGCTATTGCCCCACCATTCTTTGCTCTTTTCTCATCAGTCCTATTGGCCGCTTTCAGATCTGGGCAGATTGCCATAGATTGTTTTTGATTGCTCGTCCCATTATCTGCCCACTCCTCACTTCATTCTCTCGACAACAATTAACATTCCGATAAATCAACCTAATTTCAGCCCCCCTTTCCTTCCCCATCGCCACCGTCGCCGCCATTCGCTCCCTTACTTTCGCCCCATTTGTACCAACGACCACCATAACCACAACCACCCCACCATCAGCCATAGCACTGAGAAGTACAGCCCAGCCCAGCAGTCCACAAATCAAAATCGCCTATATTGTCCTCAGTCCTATTTTGTCAGCCCACAATTATATCTCTCAAGCAGTTCGAACAAGGGCGCACCACTTAAATGCCAAATTGGCCCCAATATATTCAAATTTAACTTTTCAGCCCGTCGCCGCCACAAAGTACAGGTGGATGCATCAATTCGCGTCATTTTACCCTACTCCAATTAGAAAACTATAGTATGCGCCTTGATTACCCTGCTGAAAAAGTGTAATAAGAGAAGTACTCTGATTTCAGGAAAAGTCCGCTTGATTTCTATTCCTAAAATCACGCTTTCTTACCCCATCATACTAAGCTCATATATTTTACCATTACTATAAATAGCTAGCTAGCGACCTAAGTGTTAATTATAACTTCAAGGTAGAACCTTAACTGGTTAAGAAATCTATAACTAGTTATAAATAGTCTGTTAGCTAGTTATCTATCATCCTTGTTTCTTCGGCTGCCGGAAGCCGCATTTAATAAGTTATATATAAGAAGATAGTTTGAAAGGAGAAACCGCAATTTGACCATACTGACAGAAGGACTTTCCTATCTTCACATTTGAAGGAGAAATAATTCGAAGAAGAAGCAGTATAGTATAATATAGCCCCAATTATACTATACCATTTTGACTAACTAAATAACTAACACCCATACAACACACAGCATATAGCCTACTAACTAACTACTGGCTGAGTGTCTTCTGCACCTATTATACAATAGTAACGGCATCTGCATACTATTATTACTAAATACCTCCTTTTGGGTCGGGTTGATCAGCCCAACCCCTAAATTAAATATATGAGCCTTTAGTACTTGCCTACCTGCCTGTGCAAAAGAGTGCTCATCATCATCAGAGTATCTTAACTCTAACCTGCTCTCACTTTTACTTCGATATTTGTTTCCATCAGTCAATTTGAGTAGACTCATTTTTTCACTTTGCTTTTCACAATCAACAGAATATTCTTTCCAGATCACCAGGCTAAATTAAACTTACTACCTTCACTATTTGGTTCTCTATCTTTAGAAGTTTCTCCTCATAAAACACTTGGACCAGTTCACCACGTCCAGTGAAGCACCATCATTTCCCCCTGGATTGGATCTACCCTGATTGACCTATCCCGGCATATCCTTCTTTTTGCCAGCAATTCTACTCCCTGTTTTTAAGTAGGGAAGACTAGTTTTTGCAAATCTAATCTTAAAACCCAGTATTTATATTTTAAATTTATCTTACCTGTTAAAATTATTCGTTATAATAACTCAATCTGACGATTTAATCAGTATTCAACCTGTGTATACCACTGCCATACTAAATTCTAGTGAAGTTCTTATTTTTACGTGTAATATAAGGAAACTAGACTGTCAGTCACATTCGAGAGACATTGAGACTGACATTTTTCCTTTTAAGTAGTCCTCAATTCGACTTTTTATTCCAACTTTGTTATTGGTTTACTGACACTTTTCTTTACTTTTATCCACTTATTTTTACCACTTAGCGTCTGCGTCTTTTCAAACAGTCTGCGTTAATCTGCTTAAACTGAAAATATGGGTGAGCGAGAACAGTGGGATAACAAACTGCAGTTTCTGCTAGCCCTGGTCGGCTACGCCGTTGGTCTGGGAAATGTCTGGCGCTTTCCCTACCTGGCTCAGAAGAATGGAGGTGGATGCTTCCTGATTCCCTACCTTACCATGTTGTCCCTAATAGGAGTCCCACTGCTGGCCCTGGAACTAGGAGTCGGCCAGAGACTCCGCAAAGGACCCTGGCAGGCCTACTCTAATATATCCAGATTCACTTTTGGTATGGGAATAGCCAGTGTGGTCGCATCTTTGGGAGTCGCAGCTTACTACAACACTGTTATTGCTTGGTGCCTCTACTATTTTGTGGTATCCTTCCAGTATCCACTTCCCTGGGAAAAGTGTCCCCAAACATTCGATCCAGTGACCAATACATCTGTACCAGTACAAGAATGTGCGCAGAGTTCTGATGTGCAGTATTATTGGAACAGGAAGGTTCTCAATATTTCTCCCGGCATCGACGATCCAGGAGAATTCAACTTCCCCATGGCCTCGTCTATTTTCGTAGCATGGTTTATTCTATTCGTCTGCATGTTCAAAGGGATCAAATCACAAGGAAAAGTTATCTACTTTACTTCTACTTTTCCCTACGTTCTTCTCACCGCTTTCCTAATCAAAGGACTTTCACTGCCAGGTTCTCTCGAAGGAATCAAGTTCCTGTTTCGACCAGACTTCTCTAAGTTACTAGACGGACACGTTTGGCTCGCAGCAGCCGAGCAGATCTTCTATTCTCTGGGACTGGCGGGAGGCAGCTGTATTGCAATGGCCAGTTATATGCCACACCACAATAACTTCCTGCTGGATACTGTCTGCATCGCAGTTATCAACACTTGCACATCGCTCTATGCCGCCTGCGTCATCTTCTCCGTCCTTGGATACATCGCCCTGTCCAAGTCCCAGAAGTGTCTCACCGGTCTAGGTCTGGATTCCTCCTTAGCTGGAACTCTAACAGCCAGCACTGCTAATGTCACAGGAATTGATGCCTCTGGATGTACCGTAGAAGCATTCATGGAAAAAGGAATAAGTGGGAGTGGTCTGGCTTTCATGACCATGGCCGAAGTATGTGTCGAATTCGGACCCTCTGGGCCTGTTTGGGCTGCTCTCTTCTACTTCATGTTGATTACATTAGGATTGGACTCTACCTTTGGAACCCTGGAATCTGTTTTTGCATCTATTCTAGACTTCAAGAGTACCAACAAGTACCTTAAGACTCCTTTTGTGTCTGGAGTAATATGTCTGCTATCTTTTCTGTTTGCACTTTGCTTTGCTGCTGGAAGTGGCGAGTACGTATTCCAGATGTTCGACAATTATGCCGGCGCTCTACCTTTCGTCTTGCTCGGTATATTCGAGTGCATAGCTATCGCTTGGGTCTATGGCCTGGACCAGTTCTCCGACGACATCCAACTGATGACTGGAATGCGACCTCCGTTTCTTCTCAAAGCATGCTGGATGTATTTGTCACCTTTGATTCTGGCAGTAGCTTTCGTGTGGGGAGCTCTGTTCTCAATCTTGCGTGATGGAGCCATGTATGCTATTTGGGTGGCTGAGAAGGGGGTGCAAGAAGACGTGCCCTACCCCACTTGGGCTCAATACACGTGCATGTTCCTCACATCTCTGTCTATAGTCTGGATGCCTCTTATTGCACTAGCAGAAGCAGTTGGACTCCACTTTCCCCAGTTCCCAAGAAGTGACTTCCCAGTGGACGAACTGAGAAAGATCCACCCTGAAGACAACTACGAGCCCTCCTTTATTGACCAGAAGTTCTTCAGGATAACGTTGTCGAGGAGTTACCGGGCGACAGGGGTTGACTTGGCCAAAAGTAATGGGGGTGCTGACTCCACCGTGCTTGCCTTGGACGGGAAGAATGACTTCAATGACAAACAAGTGGCCGACACGCAGGCTTAACTAACCAAATAGTCTGAAACGCCACAGTCACACAATATCAACTGAGTCGAGTGAGTAAACCCATTTTCAGCTCTAAATAAGGATACCCCGGGTTGACCTCCTTACACCGAAAATGCTTATCATACAATTCCATACAACAAAAATCATTGACATACAAGTCCATACATCAAGTGTATGGAGAAAATGCTTGTCATACAATTTTCATACATTTTCGTAAAACAATAGAAAAAAAATTAAAACAATTTCTGCGGCTTTTTGAGAACAGTTGAAAGACTGGTGACAAAAAAAACTGATTTTAAATTTTTTTTTGAAAAAAATATTACCATACAATTTCCATATACGACACCCAAATTTTTTTCAAGTAATTTTGAGAATGTGTCCCAATTTTTTTTTTCAAGCGCAAATCGAATTTTGTACGCAAACAAACATTTTCCGAAAAAAGTTTTTTTGCATACAAAATTTAATTTTTTGTGTGCAAAACGTAGTCCTGGATACGATAATCTTGGCTTTTTTTCTTTTCACTTAAAATTTTTTTTGAAAACGCTGAAATTTCCTATTTCTTTTGTATGGCGTGTCTATGTATGCCTTGATCAATTTCTGATAATTTGAAAATTCACAAATTTAAAATAATCATCATTGAAAATTTTTGCCAAAAATTAAAAGTTTGTTACTTTTGTTATATCATTTGTGAAAGACAGCTGGAATACAATTCAGGTCAGTTTCTATGCATTGTAAATGCAAGACCGTCCAACCTTTGGTGCTTTGAGTAACCAAGGTCTTTGAAACTTGTGTTCCGTTGCAAACACAACCCAAAAATTTTCAGAAAATAAATTTACGAACAAAAAAAAAATTTTTGGTTATGGGAAAAAAACCTATTATACAATTTCCATTTATCGGAAAATGCTTATCATAAAGTTTTCATACAACACCCTGAATGCTCCGATTGCCTTTTGAGGTCTTTGCAGCAGTAATAACATAAAAATATTAAAAGTAGAAAAAAATTAAATTTGAGATTTTTGGGGAAAATCATTCTCACACAAGTGATAGATTTTGCTCCCATTAACAAATCAATTATGGCAAACAAGCTTCCTTCAACCAATTTGGAACGATTTCTAAGACGGTTTAAATCTCCGCTTTCGCGTTAATATCGCGAAACATATCGCGCGTTAATAGTCCCAATTTGTCCAAAATGGCAATCTGTAAACCACAATAATTTTATGAAAAAAGATCACAGGTGAAATACATTTTCAAATTTAAGATCAGTACAACAATACCTTTTGAATGATAAAAAAATTTGTCAAAATTCTAGTTAAAAATCCTAATTTTTTCCGAAGTAAAAAAACCATCCCGAGCACAATTATTCCGTTACTTTCGTTACGAAAGTCGGAACAATTTTTTTTTGAAATTTTTTGCAACAGAATAACCGGCAAGCATACATTTTAGTTCGACCACAAAACAGAAAGAAAAATGTACTTTTACTTTTTCGAAGTTAATAATCCCTTATACTTTAATAATCTCTTAAGATGAGCCCTTATAACTATACAACACTTTAAGAAGAGTTGGCTAGCAATTTTTGTTTCACAATGAAATTATTCCATAGAAAATTATCCGCTTTTTGCCAAACTTTAGTTTGAATAGCAAAACTGCAGATCAGTTTTTGTCGGCATTAAGGAACATTTTTTTCCGTCGATTGAAAACGAAGAGGAACTTTGCATTCGAATGTGCTTTAATTTTTTTTCTGCTTTTTTCTCTAGGCAGTATCAGGTACCACAAACAATCATCGCACTGGGTTGAGTGATATATAATATTAAAGCCCTTTCAGTCGTGATTTCAACGACATTTTAAATTTCTAAAAAAAGTTTCCTAGTGTCAAAAAATACCGCTTGAAATTTTTTAAATTTTTCGTATATTTTCAAGCGAGTGAAGCGAGCGAGCAGGTTTGTTTTGTTTTTCAATCAAAATTTTTACCATAAACATTTATCGTAATGGGTGGAGTGATATATCATATTAAAGAGTGATATATCAAATTTGAAATTAATTTTGACGGCAATTTAAATAGCAGAGTGGCAAGGCGCGTAATTCGAGAGTGTCAGATTAATGATTAGATCTCCTGCCATAGCAAGGACAGTGTGAGAGGACATGTAGCTTCTGTTTTAATAAAGCGTGACCTATTTTGGCTAAAACCACCATTGATTATGGTTGTTTTAGTGTATTATGGTGGTTTTAGCGTAATAAAGCGTGTATTTACTTGTGCTGTGTTTTTTTTTTACAAAAAAAACAACAACTTGCAGTCCTCTAGCAAAACTTATAAAACATTTTATTTTTAAATTGGTTTGTAGTCGAGTGAAATATAAAAAAACAGATTCCGCTGCATGTTCATCCTTGCTGGTAGGAATTCAAATTTTTTTTGCAAATTTGGGTAGCCCAAACAGAAGCTGCATGAAGTTTGTTGCTTCATCAAAATACCTTTTTTTTCGATGGTGTGGCAAAAAAGTCTTGACATAATTCTCTGACTAAAAATTTCTAAGACTCGGCAACTGGAGTTCCTTCTTCCTTAGTGCAGAAAAATCATTTTTCTGTGTAATTGAGAAATTTTCAGGAGAAACAATCATTAGTTTTTATGAACAGCATTAACCACTGATCTAATCTTTGTGGCAATAACCGGCTCTAAATTTTGTCATAAGTCCCACCCTCTGTCGGCAAGCTTGCAATACACTGGCCCGACTGCGGCGGTCATTATTTTATTCTTTATATTTGTTCAACAAAAGACAATTCTCGGCCTAACGGCTTGTTAACACAATTATTACTTGGGACTGTTTTCGGACTGTTTTGTATCGGACTGTTTTTTCATTCATTTTCATCTTTTCCGGACTGTTTTGTATTGGACTGTTTTTGTACATACACTGTTTCTCCCACGCAATACTATTCATCCCAAGCACACGTTTAACGAGGTCGAGTGATGTTTAATGTTATCGCCCTTTTGTTTGTGACCAGGAACTAAATTTCAACAAAAAAACTACTCATGTTGTTGAGAAAAAAATCTCCAACGTAATTTCGGACAAATCTATAGCTATTAACGAACGGATGATGTGCTCATACTGGCTAGAAGAAAAACACTAGTTTCGGATATTTGTCAATTAACACGTAACAAACAAAATAAAAAAGATTCTCCTCAGGAATTTTTTAGGCAAAAACACATCCCTTTACAGCAAAAGGCTTCAAACAGGCTTCTGGTTGAATGAAGTGATCACTCAAGGCGTCATTAAACCAGAAGCCTGTTTGAAACCTTTTGCTGAACTGTTTTCGGACTGTTTTGTATCGGACTGTTTTTTCATTCATTTTCATACTTTTCCGGACTGTTTTGTATTGGACTGCTTTTGTACATACACTGTTTCTCCCACGCAATACTATTCATCCCAAGCACACGTTTAACGAGGTCGAGTGATGTTTAATGTTTTTTCTTATGTGATGAAGAAAAAAACAGTCCAATACAAAAAGCCCGGTTTAAGGTCACCGGTGGGCGCGCTACCAGCGCGTCGCCGCTTTGTGGCGATAACCGGCTCTAAATTTCGTCATAAGTCCTACCCTCTGTCGGCAAGCTTGCAATACACTGGCCCGACTGCGGCGGTCATTATTTTATTCTTTATATTTGTTCAACAAAAGACCATTCTCGGCCTAACGGCTTGTTAACACAATTATTACTTGGGACTGTTTTCGGACAGTTTTGTATCGGACTGTTTTTTCATTCATTTCCATAGTTTTCCGGACTGTTTTGTATTGGACTGTTTTTGTACATACACTGTTTCTCCCACGCAATACTATTCATCCCAAGCACACGTTTAACGAGGTCGAGTGATGTTTAATGTTATCGCCCTTTTGTTTGTGACCAGGAACTAAATTTCAACAAAAAAACTACTCATGTTGTTGAGAAAAAAATCTCCAACGTAATTTCGGACAAATCTATAGCTATTAACGAACGGATGATGTGCTCATACTGGCTAGAAGAAAAACACTAGTTTCGGATATTTGTCAATGAACACGTAACAAACAAAATAAAAAAGATTCTCCTCAGGAATTTTTTTTAGCAAAAACACATCCCTTTACAGCAAAAGGCTTCAAACAGGCTTCTGGTTTAATGGCGCGATCACTCAATGCGTGCAACGATTTTACATACATCAACTCGTAAACAATTTTTTCGGCTAAAACCACCATTGATTATCCATCCAGTCATCCATCTAAATTAGTCCGAAAAATATCAGAGTTTTTTTTGAAAACTGGTCAAATTATTGGAAGTTTTTTGCAGAAGTCAGAATAACAATTGAAACTGCTAAAACAGGATGTGACTTTAGGACGGGTGGGCAATTGATAAAAAGCTTCATTTTCTTGATCATTCTTTTTTGTTTTTACAGCAATTTGGTTTGATTAGCCTATCTAACTGAATTTTGCAATCTTCGACTGAGGCAAAAAACACGCTTACAAGAGGCTTGGTATGATCATTTTTTTGTTGCCTTGTTGTGATCATCAGCAAGAATTACTACTGAAAATATAGAGCTTGTAGAATTGCTCCTAAAAATAAAGCCGTTTTTTGAAGTAGAAGCACGGAACAAAGCCACTGAGGATATTTCCAGAGCAAGAACATCTCTGAAATTAATTAAGATATACTGGCTATTTTACCTCCTTTGAAACAAAACTTAATTGTGGTTTCTGCGATATGCAGAGGATCTATAAAAGACTATCCAGTCTTTCTAAGCATAGTCCGCTTTTCTTATTTCCCAACATTTCAGACTGAGTTTTTTTTCGCTGATTGAAGCTCTTTTCTTGCGCCTCAAGGCCGTTTTCTGCGTCTAGAACTTTCACATTGTGCCACTATTGCAGCCGTAATTGGTCAGGCTGTGGTAGACCTGAAGCTAGAATTTTTTTCCAACTTTTTGTGTCAAAAGTAACAAAATATTTGTGCTCGGGGTGGTTTTTTTTTCCTCAGACAAATTTCGACTTTTTAACTAACCATTTTTGACCAAATTTTTTTTCTATATCATTCAAATTGTATCATTGTCCTGAGCTAAAATTTGAAAAAGTTCAAATGTGATCATTTTTTGTGAAGTTATGGGGTTTTCGAGATTGCTATTTTGGCCAATTTGAGACGATAAACACGCGATCTGTTTCGCGCTATTGATGCGTAAGCGGAGATTCAATCCGTCTCAGAAAGTATTCCAAATTGGTTAAAGGAAGTTTTTTGCCATAATTGTTTTGTCACTAGGAGTGAAATCTATGACATGGTTCTTTAAAGGAAAAACTGTAACGAAAGAAACATTTTCGCGAAATGTGCTCTCCAGTAGATGTAAGTTGAAAGCCGTCTATGACCTTGGGAATTTGCATTAGATAGATACGGAAGGTAGATTGATATTTTTGAACATGAGGATTCTATCATTTTTGTTTGGGGAACACAGCCTGTCCTTTTCCCTGCTTGCGCAGTACGTGGGATTTGATGCAAAAACAATTGACTGTTCGTTTCAGGGTCACTTAGAGCCACAGCAGAAAATGACGAAGAAAGAAGAATAGACGACAAATGGAGACATGAGACATGAGACATTGATGGACGACCGTGACATGTCTTTCTAATCAAACAAGCTCAAAACCAAAATTAATGCGATATAAAATGATCAATTTGAAATTACCTTCTGAATAGCTGCACACATCTCTATATTCATTATACTCTATTTGAAATCTCTTTTGGCAATATATTGGCTTATTTGTACTTATTTTGGTTGTTTGTTTTGATCTCCGACTTCAGTGAGTCCGAAATGACATTTAAAAAACTAACAAACATGGAAACAATATAAAAATTTCCATCAATTTTCGGCAAACTTTTCAACTTTTGGCTCACTTGACATTAATTTATACCCCCATAACTTGATGTTGCTTCATCCATGCCCCTCTGTAGCCTATATGTATGGTACAAACAGTTAAACAAGAAAATGAAGTAGTATGTAGATGTACTTAACCATAAATGGCGTGAAAACATGTTGAATTTTATCAGTGTTTTATTAATTCAGTATCGCCATCCCATTTCAACCTTGTAAAACAATTGAGCGGTATTTAAAAACCTTTCAAATTCAAATTCCTTAGATCTAGCAGTTGCGAGTGAGACGCAACAAAGATGTTGGCTTTCCAAGCTGTCGAGCAAGTCAAAATAACAATTACGGTGACAAACAGTTCATTGCTAAATCCCAAGTTTCGCGCAAACAATAATACGATGGAGTAATGAGAATCGACAATTGCTCTGCAAGTATTACCGACGGTTGTTCCGACTTGGAAGAAAACGGAATATTTAGGCTTGAGGTGGTTTTAATCAATCAATGTTTGACAATCGAAATATTAATTTTTAACAAAAAAAATTTATACCCCATTGAAGATACCGAATTCTTCAGATCAAACTAAAAATGGGCGCTTTACCTCCGATCATTTTTTGCTGGGAATCGATAATTGCCAACTTGGCTATGCTCTCGACTAATTTATGCAGGCTTTGAAGATTTTAAACTTAATCCTGTTAGCTGAACGCTAATTTTTTATGTGTGGTCAATTATTCCGCACAAAAAAAAAACGTTTCAAACTGAATTACGGCTAGCTAATTGGTCGTATTACTTTCGTTTGACTTAATTTTTTACACTCGAACTTTGATATTGTCCAAAACTATAATTTTTCAATACTTTTTTTTTCCCAAAAGTTATTCGATATGGATTAAGGGGCAGTCGGAAAATTCAGAGCTTTGCCCTGATATACGAGCAGTCTTGTTTTCATTTGTGTAGTTTTTTGCTTGAAAAGATTAAAAGATTAAATTATTTTCTATTCTTTTTTTTACTGTCTAAATTGACCATTATCAATGACAGTTTGGTGAATCCACTGAGAATCTATTTTTTGAAGATATTTTATGAAAACTATCCCCCATTCGCTATGTTAATTACAAAGTCTTTCATTTAGCTTACACAAAAGTGTTAAGTAGACAAAATTGCAAACCTCTATTCAACTTGGAACGATTTCTCAGATGAATTAAAGCTCCGCTTAAGTGTTGATAACACAAAATATATCGCATACTAATTATTTGGAAGCGGCCAATGGGCAAACTTTTAATCCCAACGGAAAACTATCACAGGTGAAATTTTTTGATCAAAGTGTGTAATTCGCAACAACTTGCACTGTTGGCTTGTTTGCAAGATTGTTGATGAATTTCAAAAGTCTACACACACCAAATGGTGCGTCTATTCAAGGAACAGTTTTGTCTGGAAATTTTTTTCTTTAAGTAGTTATTTTGACTCGGCTGCTTTAGTTATTCCAATTTGAGTTGAGAAACAAAGTTTGTCAACCTAGACATAGCAAAATACTTTTTACTGATCCTATCTACACAAAAACTTTAAATATGAACGTTTGAGGTAAATTGATGTACGTAATTTTAATTGAATACTGAAGAAAAAAACAGAAAAAAATCCGAAAACACTAACTTCCTTTTCGTTTTGACATGACAGCATTAAAATGATGAGCCAAACTGAACAATTATATTTAAAACGATTGAAGAATATGCCTTTTTTACTATGACTATCGAGCGTGCCCAAATTCTCTCAAAAGCGTCATCACACTACACGCAAAAACTAAACTCATTTATTTTTTCTAAATCGAATTTTTGTAGTGTCGAAAAAACGGTTTGAAATTTTTAATTTTTGGTCCAACTTCGAGCTAATAAGAGGACCGCGTAGGCTTACAATTGTTTGCTTTTTTCATCCGTAAAAACTCAGTTTTACTCGAGTAAAGGTAGTTTTGGAGTTTTTTGGGAATCACATACTTAAAAATTCAAAAAAACTTTGCAAAAAAAAATTAAAAAACAAGATTTTATATTTTTTCCCCTTTTTTCTTGTCATTTTTCTTCAAAAACTGTTTTCCAAGTGACCTATTTTACTAGGACTTTCAAATATGCTCAGCTCTTCTATTCTTTTATTCTGATTTGTTCATCACAACATGTAGCAAATTCGGCCGGCCTGCTATTCTTGTTTTTAATTGCTTTTACTTGCAAATGCGTTTGTATAATTACAATTATAATGATTGCTTTGTCTGATACTAGAAAGCCGTGTCAGATACTTGATTGTCATGGTTATCTAAGTATGTGTCTGGTGTCAATTTCTTTTTGCAGTTTCCAGTGCCAGTTTAAGTGTTGAGGCACACCTGAGAACAATCGAAGCAACATTTTTCCGTGTGTGTGTCCGTATTTAAACCACATCCATTCTCATCTCAGATAGTAAAAAATTGATTTTTTAATTTCTTATGCACAAAAATTGCACAATGGTCCTTCTGAACACTTTTATGACTTTTTTTAGATGTAGCGAGAGTTGTGTCACAGAAAGACATTTGTGATCAGGGTAAGTTTTTCTTGACTTCGGCTCAATACCTTCTGACAATAGGAATTTCTGCCATATGATCATCGTCGGTTTTTGATTCCGTCTCAGCTTCAACGAACAACGGAGTTTATTTTTGTCGGACGATTTATCCGCTGGATCAGGTCTAAGTATGCAAGAGGTACGTTTGTGCTTTGCAAAAAGTAACCAGCTTCTGTTACTTTTTGGTTTCAAATTGGCTGGTAGATAAATCTATCTCCTGTTGCAACCAATGTTTTGCTTCCTTCCCATAGGTCGCCTGCTTAAACCATATTTGATTTCTGTCGCAGTAGATTTAACCATTTTTAATGTTCAACTCTTTGAATAAATTGAATCGAAGTTATAATGATTGCTTTGTCTGATCTTTGATTGCGGTGGTAATCTAAGTATAGGTGTCTGATATCAATTTCTAATTACATGTTCAGTTTGTGTGTTCGTATGAGATCTAAAACAAATCCTCACTCATCTCAGTTAGAACAAAATGACATTTCAATTTTGTTATTCAAAACCAAATATTTTCTTGACTTCGTCTCAATCTTTTCTGACAATCGGAACGTAGGTCATATGATCATTGTCGGTCTTTGATTCAGCTCAGCTTAAAGAACAGTATGGTTAATTTTTCTCGGTCGCATTATAACCGCTAGTTCATTTCGACGAACCCATGACGTGTTTTCGCTCTTCGCATGATGTAACTTGCTTCTGTTGGCTCTTGGCTCTTTAATGGCTGGTAATTAAATCTGCTATTGCAACCTAGGTTTTTGCGCCATTATAGGTCGCTTGCTACAACCTAAGTTATTGTCGTATGACAGCTGATAAAATCCGATGATAGAAATAATATGCTTTTAATGGTTAGTCTTTTGATTAAATTGCATCGAAATTAAGTTAGCTGCATTGTCTGATACTAGAACACTAGTGTTGCAGGAAAACCAAAACGCAAAAAGAGTCCCTGTGGGGTCGATCTGTCGATTCATACATTGGAATGCCGCTACAAGTCGACCGAGCCAGTATTAGCACAAATCAGGACTTATTTTCGCGTTCTGGACAACTGCTGGACAACGAAATGTACCCTGTTCGTTGTCCAGGAGTTATTTACTGACGATTGTTGTCTCTTCATATTCGCTTATTTAAAACGAGCTCAGTAAGTTTTTAATTCATCTTTTCAATTGAGCAATTGCTAATCAAGTTGCATGCTTGATATTGAAGTCAAAGATCAAAAAATGATCACGCCACCTTGCAGCTCTAATAGGGGCTAACTTTGGAATTTCTCTAGACTGGTGAAAGATGGATTTTAAGGGAATGTTGCCAGTCATTTTTGAAAAAAGACGTCCTATGAGAAATTGTGTAAATCTTTTTAAGCAAAACACTACGGTTATTTTGTTCGTTGCTAACATACTTTTTTCGACAGTGGTCAAAAACTTGGATACAAACATAGATAAAAACCCTAAGTTTCAGTGATGCATCACATTTCTTTAAACTTATAAGCTCGCTGCATACTGACCTCTCAGTCCAATCGTGAGTGTAAACTTCTCTTACTGATTTGGTTTCATCGAAACAAAAAGTGTCACAAAAGATACAATAAGCTCCGATTTCTTTTTTGGAATCGATTGTATTGTGGTATGATTTGGAGTAGGCATTAGACTTTTCTTCTGGTATTCCATAACCTAGAAATATACAATCTGTGTAAGTTCTCTGCATTTTTTATTGAATGTGAATCCTCTTTGTTTAAGTAGATCATGTTGTGTATCAAATGACACCAAACACATCTAATTCAACCTGATAAACTATCGAGGCTTTAAGGGCCTTCAGCATCTGCCGCATGGTTTATTGAAAAATAGCTGAGATGCTTTTCAGTCCCTTTTTTTTAGCCCAGTAACGCGCAAATTTTTTCTCGTGGTAATCACTGTGACTGCCATGTCTTGAAATTATTTTTGGAGCTCAGTATACCCATCGGATTTGGACAGTTTAGAATTTGAAAAATATTTGGATCGTTATGATTTTCAGTTAATCGACTCAAGGATGGGCAGTCAACCTATCAAGACATTATGAGACACAGTTTTAGCATCACCAGAGACTCTATAATGCATAGATTGATCAATTTTTGTCGTGCTGTTGTTTTTCATGTTGCTCTAATTCGCCAAGTTGCTCATAAAGATAAACCTGTTGCTTGTCTATTTCAAAGAAGTTTTTGACAATCAAATAAATTCTCAATATCGGTCAATCATTGAAAATTAATCTATCCAGAATCTTTGAAAAACCCCGAATATTTGTCAACATAAATTAGTCATGTGTTTCATCTTGACCATGGATTTCGACATCAAGTTGCCAATTTTTTTCCAAATGACAATTGCATGACTGTCACAGGATGTGCTATAGTAAATCAAAACAAATTTAACACCACGCTATTTGATTCCCAAAAATTTTAAATCCTTCATAAAATTTTAACTCCATCATAATTTAACACCAAAATAATGATGTGCGAACACTTTATCTTAACTCCCATATCGTTAAAGTTAATCCTGCAATTCATGCACGCATCATATTAAATTTATTTATTAACATCGTTAGTAAGAAAAAACGTGCTAACTTAATAAAAACTTGAAGTAACTTTGACGTAAATTAGATAAAATTTTGACGTAACTTTTCTGACTAATAAAAAACTCTGGCGGTCTTTTTACGCTGCACT